GGCCCTCCCGCCGTCCTACCTGGGCTCTCGGCGCCCGCCGTGCGCCCCGCTCCGCACCTGGCCCTGCCCTCCGCGCCTTCTCCTAGGACTCCCCATTAGCCAGCCTCCCCTTCCGGCCCCCACCCCTTGCCGTCGGAGGAGCCCGGGCTTGGGACCTGGGTGCGCGCCACTCCGAAGCCGTGTAACCCGACACTCCCTGTTTGCTCACTGGCAGGTGGGGTGATACCACCCTTAGCCCGGCTGCCAAGATACACCGGCGAGGGCTCATTTCCTGCCCCTCGTCCCGGGGCTGCGCCGGGACCCACCCGGAGCTGGGAGGCTGTGGGCAAGTCTAGACTTCCTCACCACAAACTCCTGAGCCTTCCCGGGGAGGAAGCGACGGAAGGGTTCTCTCCTGAAGCTCATCTGGCATCCTGAGGACTTTTGGAGGATTCTGGCTCAAGGCCATTGGCACAGATTCCTGGGAGACAAAATCTGACCCCCCCATACACCCCCCCAGAGCCTCCAGGGCCTCCCAGGCCAGAGGGGCCAGTCTTCCACCCTGGCTACTGTCCTGAGCTAACAGCAGACCCCTCTCCCTAACCCCTCTCCCGGTCTCCGATTGTCTGCCTTTCAATTCCTTCCCCACCTGCACCTCCAGCACCTGAGTCCAGGCACCCAGCATCTTGTTGCCATCCGCATGTCAGCCCCTCCCCAGCTCCCTCACCCCTGGCCTCTGACCTCAGAGACTGCCAAACTGGCACTGCAGCTCCTCCGTCCTTTCTCTAACTGCATATTCCACACCCACACCCACACCCATCCCCGGCTCTGCCAGGGTAGTCCGTCCCCATTCCCTCATCCCTTTCCTGCCTCTGCAGCTTGTAGGAGCCCGTTTCGTGTGCCTGGGATCCTCCCCTCCCCAAATCCGACCACAAGCACACTCTTGAGGACGTGCTTCTCCCCAGAGGAACTTGGACTCACCCCACAGCCCTCCCTTTGCCCCAGGGTTTTGGGTGGTTTTGTTTGTTTGTTTGTTTGTTTGTTTTTTGGTCTTTTTGAGACAGGGTCTCACTATGCAGTTCAGGCTGGCCTTGAGCCCTCTTTGTAGCCCAGGCTGGCCTCGAACTTGCATCATCCTCCTGCCTCAGCCTCCCCAGTGCTGGAATTAGTCATGGGCCACCGCACCCGGCTGAGCACTCTTACATGCAGTTGCTCCATCCCCACCATTGTCAGGAACCTCTACTGTGGGGATGGATGGAAGGCCTGGGTGCCCAGCGGGTCAGACAGGGGCACGTGGGCCAGACTGACAGCTCAGCACCGACCTCTGCTGCAGGAGGGGAGCACACCCAGAAAACACTCAGGCTCCACGGGCTTTGCACAAGCACAGACCAACACACCCCATCCACAGTTTAATGCAGCTGCAGTGCGCCCTGAAAGGCACCAGTGGGCTCCAGAGCAGGGACAAAGTACCACTCCACAGCCGCTGTTTACACAGGGCCACCCACACCATGGAGACAGAGAGGCCAAGGGTCACCGTTCCCCTATGAAAAGGGAGAGGTCAGGATTTTCAGGGCAGTTCCTCTCCATGCCTCACTGCACCCCCCAACCTTTGGGAGCACCCAAACTGAACTGCTTCTTCATTCGCACTGGTTATTTGGTTTGGGTTTTATTTGTGTGTGTGTGTGTGTGTGTGTGTGTGTGTGTGTGTGTGTGTCTTTTTGAGACGGCCTCGTTATGCAGTTCAGGCTGGCCTTGAGCTCACTTTGCAGCCCAGGCTGGTCTCGAACTTACAATGATCCTCCTGCCTCAGTCTCCCGAGTGCTGGGATTACACACGTATGCCACCACACCTGGCTCCATGCACACTGTTGGTGGCTTAAAATCTACCACCCCTTTTGTGGGTCCCACGTAGGGCTTTTGTGGGAACTTCCTCCACTCCGGGCCAACTCTCCAGTCCCACATCTCGGTTTTCAACAGACAAAACTCAAGCGGCCGGGGATACAGCTCAGTGGCACAGCACCTGCCTGGCAAGCGCGAGGTCCTGAGTTTGATTCTTGGGACCCACACACACAAAAATAAATAAATCAAATTAAAAAATCAATGGACAAAACTCAGTCTCGTGTAACTTGTTTTACAGAATACAACCTCTAAGACATTTTAATGAACATGAGCATGAAGTTTTGATCACCAGGGTGAACAAGCGTCACCTACAAACCGAAGTGCACCTGTTGTGAGCCCCGCGAATGCTGCTACGGCTACGCACGGCCCAGGTGTCACCTCACTGCTGGGATTCACCCGCAGGCCCTGTGGAGGCAGGTGCAGGGGGCTAGCTGGCCTTGAACAGCATGTAGAGCACGGGCAGCGTGGCCACGAATGTCACACAAGTGACCAGCGTGCTGTAGATGGTGTTCCTGCTCACTCGGGCCTCCAGCCTCTGTTCCGCGTCGGCCAGGGCCACGATCATACTCCCCTGCGCCAGCAAGGAGCTGGGCAGAGTCCCGTCGGCTGGCTCTCCCGGGCCGGGGTGCGCGGCGGCCTGTGCAAGCTGAATCACCCCAGCTATTTGGCTGCAAGTCTTATCCAGAACATCAAGCTGCTCTCGTAAACCTTCTAGACAGGAATGGACCTGCTGGGAATGGCTGAGCTGCTCTTGTAAAGCAGATGAAAGGGCCTCTATGTCTTTCTCTCTGGTAGGGGAATCCCCTGCTGGCGATCCAGAGCCCTGGCCCTGCCGGGCATGCACCAGCCCCTTCAGGTCCACCACGAGGTCACGGAGGTCCCTCTGCTGGAGGGAGTAGCTAGCGGCCTGCTCGCGGATGGCCTCCTGGAGACTCAGAGGCCCCTTCTGCGCCTCCAGGAGTAGGGCCCGCAGCTCCTGCAGCCGCACACGGTTCACGTAGGTGGAGCCAGCCACGCCAATCAGGGCCCCCAGGACCGACCCAATGAGGGACCAGTTCTTAGTCCTTTCGGCCCTCGCACGCTCCTTCTCGTGACTCTCCCGCACGGCTGCGGAGAAGAGAGAGAACTTCTCACGCTCGGAGTCCTCTGCACGCGTGTAGGCCACGCGGAGCCTCTTCTCCTCCTGCAGAAGCAAAGCAGCATCACACAGCAGCAGACGGCCCTGGGGCTGCAGCCACAAGCACACGGACACTGCCCTGACCTCGGCTCCACCAACACCTGCCATGTGACAAGGGCAGCATACACCTGGGGGGCACAGCGGCAGAGGACGGGACTGTGGAGCGAACAGCTTTCTCTTCCCACCAGGCATTGTCGGGTGGCCGGGCACGCACTGACGTCCCCAGCACGTGTCCACGGGAAGCTGCGTCCACCGCTGGGCAGGCCGGCCCCTCCCTTGGTACTCCCTCCTCGTAATGCAGGTCCCAGGCCCTCAATCCAGGGGGTGCTAGGCTGGGGAAGCCGGGGGCCCCGTCCATCCACAGGAGCTTTCTAGTCGAGCTGCTCACCAGGCCTCTCACTGCCAGGCCATTCAGCCTCCAACCTGGCCCTCCGCAACCTGCCAGGCTAGGGGCCCTGGTGAGGAGACAAAGGGCTGCCTCCCGGGGGCCTACCTGCAGCATCCTATGCTCCAGAGTAGCCAGCTCCAGGTACTGGTTGTCCTCCCTGGAGACACGGTCCAAGCGGTCCCTCACCTCCTTCAGCTTGGCCTGCTGAACTTCCAAGTCCTCCCGAGCCTCCCGGACAAGGCCCCGAGCCACCATGAACACCTTCTCTGCCTGCAGAGAGGACAGCGGAGGCTGTCAGACCCTTCTGGCCATTCCCGAAAAAGCAGCAGCTAAGAAAAGGTCAGTGGGGTATCAGCAGCAAAGCGCAGAAACAGCCCCCTAGACGCTAATCCTGGCTCCCTCAGTACTGCTCCAAGTGTAGCCCTTGGCCACGCCCACTGAGCCGGGGATTTGTCCGCTGAGGTGGAAATAATATGCCCCTGAGAAACTTGAAAACAGCCAACAATGCATACAATCTGTATCCACTAAACCCAGCCAACTGGTGTCTGATATAACCACAGGAAAGAAGCCATGTGCTGAAACTATGTCCCGACCACTCCTTTCCCTATGCTTTACTACACCATCAAAGGCACTGCTATGGTTTATGGACCTGGAAACCCCAGGTCAGACAAACTTACAATGTCCAAGGAGACAGACAGCAGTGTAGTTCAAACACTCAGCAGAACCCCAGGTTCTTTTTGCTTTTTGTTTTCACCTTTTTGAGACAGGGTCTCGCTGTGCAGTTCAGGCTGGCCTTGAGCCCACTTTGCAGCCCAGGCTGGTCTCAAACTCACAGTGATCCTCCTGCCTCAGCCTCCTGAGTGCTGGGATTACAGGCGTGTGCCACCACGCACGACCAGAACCCCAGGTTCTTCTTCCCTCACTACACTGTTCTGTGCCTAAGAGTTGAACAGAATGCATTTCTGCTGCCACAGAGCACTTCACCGCAGGCAGCTCTGTCTCCCCGACAGTCCGATGTTTCCCAGCGTCCTCCACCTTCACACAGTAAGGCAGCAACTCTCCCACCAGCCCGCCCCTGCCCCACCCCTGTCTGCAGAGGAGTGTTTGCTGGCATGACAGTGTTAGTGGCCAGGGCCTTGCTGAGACACAGTAACTATTCTGAGGGACAGCTGGAGATACAGTGACACAGACCTTCACACCAGTAGTATCAGACCCAGGTTTCTAAGTGAGGGGGAGTCTGATCCCTCAAGTGATACTTGTTTAAGAAAAGGCACAGCTGGATGACAAGGTCTGGCAGGGGTTCGAAACCCCACTTCCCCGGTCAGCGGCAGGTCCAGTCTCCCGGGCTCCCTCCTCACCTCAGCCACGTTTCCCTGGGCCTCTCGCACTTCGACCAGCCCCACAAACTCTTCGTATCTGTCCCACCACGTCTTGGCTGTGGAGGCAGCGCGCTCCTGAAGGGTCCGCCCCAGGGCTCTCCCCAGAGCTGGGAGGCGATGATACAGGACTGCCTCCTCGGGGCGTTTCTCTCCAGGCTGGCTGGGGCCTGCGCTGCAGACAGTCCTGGTTATAACAAGGTCCCTTCCGAGGAGGCCTCTCCACAGCAGCAGGGAGGGGTGCACACCCACAACGTGCTGCATGGCAACGGCAGGGCTGCAGCCCGTCATCCGGAGACCTGCGAGGGGACGCCAGACGGATCAGGGCACAGCCGGGCAAGGCTGGACACGAGTCAGGGCCCCAGGCCTACGTACGGCTCTGAACGAATTCCCTTCCACTAAATCACCTCAAGGAAGCCCCACTCCGCTGGGCCCGGAGACCCGTGACAAGAGGCGATCGGACTCCCCCAGCTTCTGGACAGCGGCCCACATACAGGGAGGAGCTCCTGTGGGACGTCACGCCCTCCCTTCCCCCCACGACACCACACAAACCGGGCCATTCCACCCCCTGGCATCCCCCAGGACTCTTTCATGTGACCTAGTGAGAATTCTGGTGCCCAGGTTTCTAATAAGGTCAAAGAAATTTCTCAAACCAGTTGTGTCCAGGCTCACAAGTCCCACAGAAGTTCATAAAGACTCCTGGGCAGGGACAGAGCTGAGGGCAACTGTGGGAAGATCTGGATCCAGTGGCATTCCGTAACATCCCTGACTCCCCGAGGCTGCCTCAGCTCTGCGGAGGGAGGGCTGCCCCTACGGTGAGGCCCTACACACACAGGTCATTCATTACCTAAGGCAGAAAACTCTCCGCTCTCCTTAGAGGGGACAATTCCAGGGGAAGGAAAGACTCTGTTTTCTCCACAAAGGACAGTTTTTCTCAGCTTCACACCAACCCTTCCGCCCTCAGCCCGACCCTCCCAGACCCCAGCTCACAATCGTCACTTCCTACAAGGTTTGCCCTTCCTCCCTGGCTCAGGCACTGTGTGAAGATCAGGCTTCTCTTTCAGCCTTGCTTTGAGGTTTGGCCCCTAATTACACCTTCCCTGGGTGACTGGACGGCCCAAAGAGGAGGCTAGTTAGCCGCGTTCCCAAGAAAAAACAGCACCTCCCTCTAGCCACGGTCACCACCATCACCACCACCCCTCCGGCCAGGGCCTGGTCCCAACGGTCAGAGCGACACCTGGTGGCCAACGGAGTAGGACAGATGAAAAACAGGGACCAGCGGAGGAGAGGAGAAGCCAGATGCAAAACAACAAAAGGCTTCAAACTATAGGGTGAACAGAGAGCCCCCCGCCACTACAGCACCCCAGGCTCCTCTTCATCCTCGGTGGAGAGGCGCAGGCCCTCTTGATAACAAAACCTATAGCCGGGCGTGGTGGCGCACGCCTGTAACCCCAGCCCTCAGGAGGCTGAGGCAGGAGGGTCATTGCAAGTTCTAGGCCAGCCTGGGCTACAAAGTGAGCTCAAGGTCAGCCTGAAGTGCATAGCGAAACCCTGTCTCAAAAAGACAAAAAAAAGAACGAAAGAAAGAAAACAAAAACTAGGTGGGAAGGGACACGCCTTCTGGTCAAAGCGGGCCCAAGACGAACGCCACATTTCTGCGACAGTGGTCCCTCACTGCTGCTGCACCCGAGTCCCCCGTCCTCGCTCACAAGGCTGGGGACCACAGCAGAGCCCACATAGCATCCCCGTTCCAGTGGTGAGCAAGCTCCCCACGCTGAGCCAGCACCCAGGGCGCAGGGGCCGAGCCCCACAGCAGCCTCCCAGCGCGCCCTTCATCAAAGAAAAGACCTGCAGCCCCGCGCCCACCAGGGACGGTGCCCCGTCTGCCCAGCAACACCCAATAAAAGGGCTCAGCACTTTGCTGTCACCACTTCCTCAACTCCCTTCTCTGTCAATCCTACTCGATGATCAAAGCTGCCCTCCTGGAGGCCCCTCAAAATTCCCACTTTGTTAGGTTCAGACTTCTGCTGCCAGAGTTCTCCTGCAGTCGTCCCGCGGCTCTGCACACTCTTCCTGAAGTCTCAGCCGACTCTCAGCTCCCTCCAGTCCTCCCAGCCGCCTTCCCCGGCCTCTCCTCTGCTCATGTTCCGCTCTTAGATCCCAAGAGGTCAGCCCTCCCTGGCAGAGACGGCAGCTATGCCCTCCCGTGCGCTCCGGGCTTCCCCTGCCCTCCCCAGCCCGTTCTCCAGCCTGAGACTCTGTTAACTTCTGAGTCAGACCATACGCCTCTGGGCAGAACCCCTCAGAGCTCCCAGCTCACTGGCGTTAACTAACGCCAAGCCTGGAAGTCACTAACAAGCCCAGCGCCTCTCAGCCCTGGCCCTGCTCCCTTTCTCAGGCACAGTACTCTGCTCCAGCCACCCTGGCATGCCACGCGTGATCCTGCCACAGGATTTGCCGCCCTCCGCCTTAGACCCCTCTCCCAGGACACGCCTGAACAGCTCATCGTGACATCTATGTCTTTGCCCACGTGCTACCTTTTAATAAGGCCTTCCTCCACCACTCCATCCCTGGCTACCTTTCTGCTCATTTTTCTCCCCCTGACATACACTTCCTAGTAGAAATCTTGATGACAGTAGGGGCCCTAAGAGGAAATGTGTCAGAAACTCCCACACTGCTTCTCCGCTCGAGTCCCCCCACAGCCTCCCTCACACCACCCCATCCTGTCCTCTCCCACCACTCAGTTATTCAAGTAGGACCCCCCTCCACAACGGCCGCATTTCGCTGTTCCTTTTTTTATGTGTGTCTTTTTTTTGAGACAGGGTCTCGCTGTTCAGGCCGGCTGTGAGCTCACTTTGTAGCCCAGGCTGGCCTCGAACTCCCAATGATCCTCCTGCCTCAGCCTCCTGAGTGCTGGATTACAGGCCTGTGCCACCACACCTGGCTTTTTTTTTTTTTCTTTTTGAAACAGGATCTTGCTATGTAGCGCAGGCTAGCCTCAAACTCACAGCAATCTTCTTGACTCAGCCTCCCGAATGCTGGGGTTACAGGCATGCACCACCATGTCCAGGTTCTCTGCTCCTCTTAGCCATCAGATACTCTGACAGACCGATCACCCCCGAATCGGTCTCCAGGTACTCTCCTCCGACTCCTTCATAAACCCTGTCTGCTCTGGCCATCATCCCCACCATGCCCCTGGAACAGCTCTTGTACAGATCACCTCCACACTGCTCAATCCAGCAGTCAGTTCTCAGTCCTAACCTCACTCGCCCCGACAGCAGCCTGTGCCTTACTGTACCTCCCTCTCCCTCAGACACCATTCTCACACGGCTTCCAGTCCTCCCCCATCTTCCTAACCTCCAGAAACCGTCACACCCCAGTGTTCAGTGCGCAGGCTGGTCGGTCACTCACACCGTTTTCTGCTTTTAAAATGCTCTGGGAGCCAGGCACGGTGGCTCTAACCTATAATCCCAGCATCTGGGAGGCTGAGGCAGAAAAACTGTAAGCGCAAGTTCAAGGTCAGCCTAAGCTACATAGTAAGTTTAAGGCCACCCTTGAACACAGCCAGACCCTGTCTGAAAATTAATTAATTAATATAAAAATGGTAAGAGTTTGGAGGTATGGCTCAATGGCAGAACATTTGCCAGCGTGCACAAGGCCCTGGCTTTGATCTCCAGCACAGCAAACAGAAACTATACTTTTGACTTTTCTGGCCCAGGCTTTTCAGGATTCCAGGTTCATTAACTGAACTGCCCAACCTATATCTCTGCTTGGAAATCTATTGGAATCTCGGCCGGGAATATAACTCAGTGGAATCGTGCCTGTCTGGCAAAGCATGAGGCCCCGGGTTCAATTCCCAGTACCAAAAAAAAAAAAAAAACCAAAAAGAGACCTACTGGAATCTCATCTTTGCCTCACAATCCTGCTTGCCCCCAGCCTTCTCAATCTTAGCCGATGGCAACGCGAACACCAAATTCTCAGGTGAAAAACCTCACCTCATCCCCACTTCTCACAGCTCTTCTATTTCACATCCAGGCAACCAGCAAATGCCCCCTGGCGTCCTGTTTTTAGTATACATGCTGCCAGAGCGAGCATACCCCACTGGCCTCCGAAACCCACGCAGAGCTCTTCTTCCTATCTCTGTCTGCTACCCTAGGGTCCCAGCGACCAAAATCCCTTGTCTGCATCCCAAGAGTCTCCTAACAGGGCTCGATGTCAACAGGGCAGTTAGTGGTCCTTTCAAAACACAGGTAGGATCACATCTCTCTCTGGCCAAACCCAGCAACAGTTCCCCACTTCTTTGGAGGAAAAACCAGAGTTTTTTCAGTGACCTAAAGGGGATCCACCTGCTAGCTCTCATTCCTCCAACCTCCTCTCCCACTAGCCTCCCTCCCTCACTCCAGACCAGTCACACAGACCATCTTGGTGGTAGAATACTTTAGGCCACTGATGGCGAACTTTTTAGAGCTTTCAATGATAACAGCTGGCTGAGCAAGGAGTGCCATGGCTTCGCCACCACTGCCTAGTCTATTTCCACCTCAGGCCCTTGGCACCAGCTGTTCACTACACTGCTTGTTCCCTGGCTCCATCCCTCACCTCCACCCAGCCTTCTTTTTGAATTCTGTTCAAATGCCAGCTCCTGAGATCTTCCTGACACATTATCAGAAACTGCTGCCAGGCGTGGGGGCGCAGGCCTGTAATCCCAGCACTCGGGAGGCTGAGGCAGGAGGATCCCTTCGAGTTCCAGGCCAGCCTGGGCTACAAAGTGAGCTCAAGGCCAGCCTGAACTGCATAGCGAGACCCTGTCTCAAAGAGCCAAAAAAAAAAAGAGAGAGAGAGAAAAACTGCCATCCCAGCCCGGCACTGTGACACACACCTGTAATCCCAGCACTCTGAAAGGCTGAGACAGAAGGATCACAAATTCAAGCCCAGCCTGGGCAATTTAAGACTCTTACCAAGATTCTGTGTCAAATTTTTTTTTAAAAAGCGGGCATGGTGGTGCTCGCTGGTAATACCAGCACTTGGGAGGTTGAGGCAGGAGGATCACCACGAGTTTGAAGCTATCCTGGGCTCCATAATGAGTTCAAGGCCAGCCTGAACTACAAAGCGGGACCCAGTCTAAAAAAATTTTTTTAAATTTTTAAAAAAGGGCTGCGGTTGTAGCTCAGTGCAAAGGTTCAATCCCCAATCCGCAAAAAGAAGAGGAAGAACAAAGACAAAATCGCCACCCCACCCCCACCCACCACCCCTTACTTCCCCGGCTCCATTTGCTATGGTCTGCCTCACTCTCTACAATATTAATTCCGCCAGGAAGTTTTGTTCACAACTTTATCTCCAGTGCCTAGAACGCGGTCTACATAGAACATATGCTCAACAAGAATGTATTGGAGAAACACACAGAATTCGGAGTCACTCTGCTTATTTTACGAAACCCAAACTCCCTCCGACGCTTAAAGCGCTCTAGGAGACCACGATCCAGGTCCCGCCCACGGCTACCCTATCCAGCCCGGGGCTGTCGGGTCCCACGAGCACCAGTGTGCGTGCCCTGCCCTCTGTCAGGGTTCTTCCTTCCCGTGCACGATCACAGGCCTGGCGGCTTCCCGCTGGGTGCCCTCGCCACTCCGCATCGCCCCAGGCGGAAAGACCCTCCCCTCCTACCTGGCTCCGCAACCTTCCGAGCAGGAGCCTAAGCCGAGGAACCGGCTGCCACTCAGTCGGCCTCTGACCCGCTAGCGCCCGCCCCCGGAAGCCCCATCCTGCGGCCCGGGAGCAGCTTCCGGCCCGGCAGCCAATCCGCGGACACGCGTCGCTATATAAGCGCAGGGGGCGGGCCGGTGGGCTAGTCGCTGGTGTCCGAGGCTGTGCGGGCGCCATGTCGGGCCGCGAGGGTGAGTGTGTGCGGCTGGGGCGGGAGGCGGGAGGCGGGGAGACGGGGTGGGCGGCGGGGACCCGCTGAGCGCGCTCGCGTTGCCCACAGGTGGCAAGAAGAAGCCCCTGAAGCAGCCCAAGAAGCAGGCCAAGGAGATGGACGAGGTGAGCGCGGGCGCCGGGCCGCGGGGCCGCGGAGGGGCGGGAGGCCGGCCGCCGTGAACGCGTCGCGCTGTCTCCCCCAGGAGGACAGAGCGTTCAAACAGAAGCAAAAGGAGGAGCAGAAGAAACTGGAGGAGCTGAAAACGAAGGCCGCGGGGAAGGGGCCCCTGGGTAAGTGCGCGCCCGGCAGGACGGCGGCCCCGCGGAGCTGGGGTCCGGGTGTGCGGAGGCCCAGGCAGCCTGGGGCGCTCCCTGTGCGGAAGCTGCAGAAATTCGCCCCTCACATTCTGAC